ACCCCTGGAAAAATGTGAGCATGTGTGAAACATCTAGGTATAGGATATCTCAGACGTGCTAATTTTGTTCTCAAATACTTTTACTTTAATATCACCCACAACTGGAAATCTGCCCTTCCATTTTACATTCAATTTCACATTTCTATTTCTTTCCCCACTTGTCAGTAAACAGATTCTTTAGATAATCTTGTGTGTGTGTGCGCGCGTCCGTGTACATGCGAGCGCGCATATTTGTGTGTTTCTTCAGGCTGAGATATTGTAAACTCTCTAGAGCAAGAATAGAATCTTCTGATTTTTTAAAACTTTGACCTTCACCTTAGTTATGATGTTGAGTAACTATAAATAAAATATATAACACACAACTTGTGACTTAGATAACTTTTCTATTTTGATAATTTACCCATTGGTGCTATTCTTGCAATTCCAGCCAGGATTTAAATTTAAATGGGCATTGAAACTACAAAAATGTTCCTGTCCCCCTCTTCTTATCAGTGTAAACCTTCCAGCCCAATTCACAGGACAATAGGGAGCCAATCTGTGATATTCATAGCAGGAGGTATACACCCAGGCTATAGGAGTCACCAGCATCTAGAAAAATCCCCATGTCAGAACCACGGAAGTTGCTACTCTACCTCCACTACCCTCCAAATCTAGACTCATCTCTCTTTTGACTAAAACCACCTTGTTTAATCATTTAGTACCTTGGTTATTACAGCAGCCTCTATCTTATCTCCTGCTTCTAGTTTATTCTATAGCCAGAATGATCAGAATGACCTGTCTAAAATACAAGTCTTGGCCCACTGGAGGCTCACATCTATAATCCTAGCATCCTGGGAGGCTGATCCCTTAGCTCAGGAGTTCAAGATCAGCCTGAGCAAGAACAAGACCATATCTCTATGAAAAATAGAAAAACTAGTTGGGCCTTATGGGGGGTGCTGGTAGGCACAGCCACTCAGGAGGCTGAGGCAAGCAGATTGCTTGAGCCCAAGAATTTGAGGTTGAGCCCAAGAGTTTGAGGCTGCTGCGAGCTAAGATGATGCCTGGCACTCTACCCAGGGTGACAGTGAGATCCTGTCTCTAAATAAACAAACATACAAAATGCAAATCTTTTCGCACTCCACCCAAATCTTTACTACCACCCTAATAGCTATAATATAAAAAATCAAAATTTCTTACCAGAGCATCTAAGACCCTTTAACACTTCAAACCTTATCTTCTGTCATTCATTTACTCACCAAATATTTCTGACTACCTACTATGCATCATGAACTACTCTAGACATGTGTGTGAAAGTGTGAGCAGAAGAAAAAGGCAAGCACATACAAAAAAGCCATCGTTTTCATGGGGGCTTAAACCAAAGTGGTGAGAAGTTGTCAGTAAATACAAGTGAACTACGTATGGTAGAACCTCTGTAAGCTGACCACCTAAAGGACTATAACAAACTGGTCAACGTATGGAGATGGTCAATATAAGGAACTGATATATACAGTCTATGAAAATGAACTTAGTTTAAAGAGGTGCTCAACTAGGGAGGTTCTACTGTAATTTAGTAGAGAGATGATGTGCTATGAAGAAAACACAAAAAGGCAGGGTGGTCAAGGCAGGCCTTATTGAAAAGGAGGTATTTGAAAAGAGACTTGAAAGAGGTGGGATAAGCCATTCAGTTATCTGGAGAAAGGCTATTCCAGGCAGAAAACAATGTGTGGTGCCAAGGCCCAGTGCAGAAGTATGCCTGGCGTGGACAAGGTTAGGAGACTGGTGTGGTTGAAACATAGAGAGTGGCGGTGGGGGGAAAGGAGGGTGGAGAGAAGGTGTAGGGTGTGGTGGGGTGATCATGCTGGCCCCTGCCAACCATTATAAGGACTTGGATTTTATTGAGTAATATAGGATGACAAGTGACACTTGAGCAGAGGAAAATGGCATAATCTGACTTAGGATTTATTCCAATTTTTTAATTTTTAGTCTTATAAACTTAGGGGGTACAAGTGCAGTTTTGTTACATCTATGTAATATGCAGATGTGTGAATTCTGGTCTTTTAGTGTTACCATTACCCAAATAGTACTCATTATACCCGTTAAGTAATTTGCACCCTCCCACCCTCTAGAGCAGTGGTTCTCAACCTGTAGGTCACAACACCTTAGTAACAATGAAAATACTTTGCGGCACTAGGAAGGGTAAGAACCAGTGCTCTAGAGTCTCCAATGTCTATTATCCCACTCTCTATGTCCACATGTACACACTACTTAGCACCCACTTATAAGTAAGAACATGCAGTATTTGACTTTCTGAGTTACTTCACTTAAAATAAAAGCCTCCAGTTCTAGCCATGTTGCTGAGAAAGAGATGATTTCATTCTCATTTATGGCTGTGCTGACTTAGATTTTAAAAGAACTCCTCTGGCTACTGTGCTAGGAAGAGACAACAGTGGCGCAAGGGTGGAAGCAGGAACTCTAGTAGGAGGCTACTGCAGTAATCCAGGTGAGAAATAATGGCAGCTCACATGGGTAGTGAGAAATGGTCAGACCGGATGTATAATATTTTGAAGGTACAGGCAACGAGATTTTTCTGACACATTGAATGTGGGATGTGAGAGGAGTCAAGATGTAACCAAGGTTTTTGAATTGAGAAAATGAGAGGACAGAATTGGCATTAACTGAGATAAGACAGACTGTGGGTGGGGCAGGAGATTTTAGGAGAAAGACTTAGAGTTCGGTTTTTTACATATTTGAAATGTCTATTGGCTATTCAGGCAGGCTTTCGTATTTATAAGTCTAGAGTTCAAGAAAGAGGTTTGGGCTGGAGCTTCTGCCATCATCTCAAACAAATCCTGCATTCCTGGCTTTTATAACTACACACAGGTTCCTCAAGTCTCTCCCAAGTCTTTGTGTCTGCATGTCTACTTTGAATGTTTTTAACTCCTGTCTTTTTTTTTTTTTACTTGGTCAAAAAATCTGTCTTCAAGACTTATGTCATCCACCATCTACTTCAGAAACTCACCTGACCCTCCTGAATCACCTGTTTCCTTCTGTAAGTCATACATTACTTAACAATGGGGACACGTTTTGAGAAATATATCCTGAGGCGATTATGTTGTTATGTGAGCATCATAGATTCTATTTACACAAACCTAGATGGTTCAGCCTACTGCACTACACATCTAGACTATGTGGTATACCCTATTGCTTCTAGGCTACAAACCTACATAGGATGTTACTTCACTGAATATTGTAGGCAACTGTAACACAATGGCTGAGTATTTGTGTATCTAAATATATGAAAGGTACAGTAAAAATACAGTATTATAATCTTATGGGATTACTAAACTGTCACTATGCAGTATGTGACCATATACAACAGCTGGGCTTGTCTTTTAACATACTTGAAAGGCTAAACAATGTTTTTTGTTTTTTTTTTTGAGAGTCTCAGTCTGATACCTGGGGTAGAGAGCTGTAGTGTCACAGCTCACAGCAACCCCAAACTCCTAGGCTCAAGAGATCCCTTTGCCTCAGCCTAAGTACCTGGGACTACAGGCACATGCCATCACACCTGACTTGATTTTTCTATTCATTTATTTTTTTTAAGTAGAGATGAGGTCTTACTCTTCCTCAGGGTGATCTCGAACTCCGGCCTCAAGCAATCCTCCTACCTTGGCTTCCCAGTGAGAACGACTGTGCCTAGCCCAAACTATACTTCTTTTTTAGTTGAAAAAAAAAAGACCAGGCATTTTATAAACACAGCAAATGACTTGCCAGATCTCTTCAATAAATACTTTAGAAACCTCTGAAAGAAAATTAGAGCCACAGAAAAAAGATTCTCGCAAGCAGCTTAGTAACCAGATTTTTGCCTTTTTCAATTTTACTAGTTATTTGAAGAAGATAAATCTTCAAGAAGGCTTGTATTATATAATAAACTTTACAGGCTAAAAACAAAGTAACATCTTCTGCCTGTTTTCCAAAGCTGTTATAAAAAATTTTCATTTTGATTGTCATCCTATTACTTGCCCTGGGGAGCCATTTAAATGAGAGGAATTATTAGACAAGAAAACCACTCTCTTTGTGTCACTCTCAGGAGGCAGAATCTCATCTAATTGAGAAAAGGGGAAAATTTTTAAAGATGATGTAAAATTTAGAGATAATCCAGCTCAACTGACCTGTCTTCTAGATGAGAACGGTGCTATGTGAGAGGCTGCTACAACCACTTCAGGGAACTGTTCTCAACTACAAGTCCAGGGTGCTACAGTCTGTAAAATGGAAGCTGTGAGGGGAGAGATTTTTCTAGCTCCTAAGAAAACACCTGGTAGACAGTAAGCGCTGAATGAATAAACAAAAGAAAAAATTCTAAGTCACAAAAGGCTAAAATACATTAAAAAGAAACCATGAAACAGGCAAAATATATTTCTTCGGGGCTTAAAAAACTCCTGACTCATTGGATGTCATAAAATTTTAGGTATCAAGAATTTACAACCATCATCTTTAAATAATAAAGGGGAAGAGGGTAGGTCCTGAAACAAAGTGCCTAAGTTTATAAAAAGCAAGGAGCTTTTTAGGGAATAAGATGATATTTTGGCAACTGTATTTGCTTTGCACAGTACAGTATTTTAGATACATAATCATCACGGGAAAATTATAGCCTTTGAAAATAAAGTAGTAAAAAGATCTTTTTATATGCCTTTAGACTATAAAGATTTATAAAGACAACTAGAAAACACAGTTTAAAAACTTGGATTCTAAGACATATTAACATGGTAACTTAAAAAACCTCAAATAAACAGCCCAGGTTCTGAAAGTTCCCTAGTGTCAAAAAAACTCTTGGTTTCAAAACCAGACACTTCAAACAATATTCATTTTGATAGTTTCCATGTAGTCAATAGGTAATTCATATTCATGTATATTAATTAATCACGGTTTCCATGCATTCAACAGGCAATGTATATTAATTTAGATATCTCAGTCTCCAAAGGAAAGTATCAGGTATCACTGTAAAATTATAAAACACCAACCTCTTTAATCTCATGTAGTTTTCACTGGCTGCTGGCCGGCACTCAGCTCTTTGTACCACTATTCCTTCCAACGACAGCTTATCTTGAGTGGGGAAAAAAAGGTATTTAGAGATAACATTTATGATTTTCAAGATTGTATTTTTACACACCAACCACAGTAGTATGACAATGAAATATAATTAATCATAAAAAATCAAGGAAACATAAGGCATAGCAGTAGGCTTATAGCAATATCACTTGTCAGAACACAGAGAAATCTTATTCTTGGCTAGTAACAAACTGGGCTCCTGTCAGGTTTGTTTATTGGGCTGCTGTAGCTCCTTGTCAATAACAGCTTTTATACATTTAGCTCAAAATAAAGTGGCTTAAAAGGGCATAAAATCAAATTTTAAAATTTTGGAAGCATGCAGAGGCTATCATTTTTGGAAGAGAAATAACTTCTAAAAACACAGCTAATCTAAACCACTATATCAAAGATATGTGTGTGTGTGTGTGTTTAATAGATTAGAATACACTGTGGCTAGAACTGCCAGTCAAAAAAATACTGAAAAACTGGGTGGGTCCACTGTCTAGATTATACTGTGCACCAATTCAGCCCATCAGCTGCTCTGATTGCTATTTTCCAACAGAATTATAAATCTGTGTATGTCAAACAGAATCTTTAACTACTATGAATATTTGTCCAAACAGAAATGTAATTTCCTCTACCATGAGTAATTCTTATAGTGACCCTGACATAGAACCTAGGAACAACAGAAAAATGAAACAAAAGCTAACATTTATTGTGTGCCTAACTAGGCACCAAGCACTGTGGTGTGGTCACTTGACAGACCTTATCATACAATTCATACACGAATACTCATCATGGCATCAGCTTTACTACATCCTAGAAATGTCTGACCATGGTTAGGAACAGTTATGGTCCAGTAACCCTTCCACAAGAATTCAGCTGGGTTTTAGAAGAGACTCAGGAAATTAGAAAGAGACTCTCTGGCTCATTAGCAATGCATTTATGATTCATCTCTTTAGGGAGAATTACTTCATTCATTCCACTACTATTAACTAAATGTCTACTATGCAAAGTGCACCATCTTGGCATTGTAGAGTCAAAGATGATTAAGACACAGTACTGTCTTCAAGAAGCAAAGAGTTCACTAGGAGAGAGGATAAACGGACCAAAATGTAGTATGTATAGAACCATGCCTACATGATTTATACTAGAAAATCTTTCTTATAGTGATTTTGTGTCCAGAATCTAGGAATTCTGTACTGTACTAATTACAAACAAGCTGGGTGTATTCAATACATCTAGGGTCCCTCAATGAAACCTATGCAACAAATCTAAGGTAGATACGGCTATGAGAGGGCTGGAAAGGACAATGAAGGGAAGCATGCCTACCTTACACCAAAATACGCCAGGAAGGAAATCATTAAAAAGCCATAATTACTTTATATTAAATTTTAAGTTTAAAAATCTAAAAATAATTTCCTCATTACTGAATTTACTGAAGATTAAAATCTATAAAAGTTCTTAAAGCACAAATATAAGTTTGCCTTTTACTAAAGCTGAAAGTTCAATGAAGAAAAATTCCTTAGTCATCACAACAATGGAAACAGTTGGGAAATGTTGAGGTATAAAGTACGCTAAATAAATGCACAAGGCAAGTCTAATATTGGGACACAAATTGACCCTTTTTATTTTTCAAACCCCTTTATCTTCTAACAAATTAATCCTTTAAAAGAATAAATCTAGAGTGCCATCTTTGAAAATAATTTAGTCACACACACAATATGTTTATTAGTCTTAAAAACTAAAAGCTATCTTTAATAAGGGAATGCTCCCCTTTATTTTAGCGGTAGCTACTCCAAGAGAACAGGCTGAATTTAACTTTTAGCTAAAGGTTTGTGCTATCTACTTTCTCCACAAGACCTGAAAGAGCAGAAAGCAGGTCAAAGCCCTTGTCCATTTCAATTTAGCCACCGTTCTCCTCACTATTCTTCAATCAAGGCTACTCACACAAAGCAATATAACTCACTTCCTCAAACCATAATTTTCTACCCATCATATCTTCTTTTCCAACCTAGTTGGATTTTCCAACTTGGAAAACAGCTTTTCCAACCCCAAACAGCTTTCAAATGTTACTTAAAGTGAAAGGAAAAGTCTTCATTAGCAAGTAGTTTTCCCACCAACTGGCTACTCTGAAATAACCTCATATCTCTGCTCACTTCCCCTCTCCCTTTCTCTTAAATTTTTAAAAGACCAATGTTCTTATGAATACGTTCTCATATTCCTTCCACTAAATCATGCTATTCTTTTTCAAAACACTACTTAAAATTTCCAGGGAAAGGTATTAAATTTTACTCTAAAAGCATTCGAAGGTACTCGCTTGCCTACCGAATCTGTTAATTATAGACTCTATTCATTAATACAGTAATCCTTACTGAAAACAACTTTAATGTCCCAGTTTGAAAGACAGCAAACACTTTTAAAATCATCCTTTTCTTCTCATGTATTTATCGAATATTTACTGAGTACTGCCGTTTATGTAAAAGCTAATGCAGGATTACATTAGGAATAACAGAGGTATGTGCCACGTGGCTCCTGCCTGTAAGGAGGCTGGAGTTGAGCACAACCATTTTCAAGTATTCTGTGGTTGGGCAGTGCCTGTGGCTCAGTGAGGAGGGCACTGGCTCCATATACTGAGGGTGGCAGGTTCGAAACCGGCCCCGGGCAACTGCAACAAAAAAATAGCCAGGCATTCTGGCAGGTGCCAGCTACTTGGGAGGCTGAGGCAAGAGAATCGCCTAAACCCAGGAGTTGGAGGTTGCTATGAGCTGTGATGCCACAGCACTCTACCGAGGGTGATAAAATGAGACTCTTGTCTCTTAAAAAAAACCCAAACAAACATTGTGGTATTATATAGGTGTATGTGTAAAATGGATACACATAACTAGCTTGATTTAGCCATTTCACAATGTGAACACATATGAAAACATCATGTTTAAAAAAAACCCATCAAGCTGAACACCATAAATATATGCAAATTTTACTTGTTAATTATAAAATACACTGGAAAAAAATGTAATTTTGTTTTTGAAAGGAAAGTATAAACACCCCCCAAAGAACTTTTGTTTATATGAGTTTTAACTACTGAAATCTACCACATCAGAAACTAAAGGAAATTTTTAGAGAATGTGAATGAAGAAAACACAGAAGGTTTAGTATTATTATCACATAAAAATAGTTTTGTCTCACAGATCCTCTCTACCTGGTAGTTCCCAGACCACATTTTGAGAGCTGCTGGTCTAGGATAAGATAGGTATATAAATCATTTTAATGCAACAGAAGCACTTTTGATATACCCCATTTAATTCACTCCCTATTAACAAAGGCTCTCAATTCCTCACGATTACATACTGTGTAGCAGAATATGTTAAGGGTTAAAAAACAGGGACATACACAAGAGTACTGACTGGGATCTCTCTCTCTCTCTCTCTCTCTCACATACACACACACAGATTATGTGTAGCTGAGGATCAAAAGACTTTTGATAGAGAAAGCAGTATTTGTGTTGGACCTTGAAAAATGGGTAGGACTTAGACTGGGAAGTGAGGTGACAAGGAAGGGCACTGAAGGTGGTGGGAATGCCTTAGCAATGGCTTTTGATGTGCACCCATTTGGAATTTTTAGCTAAGGGACTCGCACCACAATTACCTGAAGGACATGATCATGCCAGCACGAAAGAATTCATCTTACTGAAGGCCTTGGAATGGTCCAGTTCTTACTTTTGGCTTGGCCATGTCAGGCATCCAGGCATCCTCAAACTACGGGCCACATGCAGCCCGCCTCACCGGGTGTTTTTGCCGCTGCTGCCTGTCCTGCTTAGCAGCCGACTTGTCCCAGGGCCTGCAGTCTGGCCCTCCAATGGTCTGAGGGATAGTGAATGGCCCCCTGTTTAAAAAATTTGAGGACCCCTGGAACTCTTTGGATTCTGAGAAATATTCGGGGATCCTTACTAAATTCTCCCTCTGCCTCCTTGGCTAGATTGATTTGTTAACTGGTTTCTGCTACTTACACTCAAAAGAACCTTAGTGAGTATAAACAAACACCTTTGACAATGATATATTATTTATGTATACTCTGCTACCTAGTGTCAGAAAAAAACTTGAGAGAAAATTTCAAAGGGTAAGTACACAAACCACATCCTATTAAAAGAACAGAAGGCCTCCAGTTATGATTCTGTCACTAAATAGCAGAATTACTTTGGAAAAGTCAGCTCACATCTCTGGGCATTGGCAACCGTTGTGATGAAATTACTGGACTCTCCCAGATCTCTTCTCGGTCTCTTTCACCCAATAAAAACACTGGCCTTCCTCACCAACTGGGGATGTTTTATTATTTCATTAATGTTTATTTTGTTTGTTCTAATACTTTCTAAAAGACCTAGACATAATTAAATTTTCTGCAAGCAGAAATTAGAAACTGTTTCTTGGAACAACAACCATAAAATGTTAAGAAGCTGCCCAAGACTTGAAAATACTCAAACTTGTGCTGGATCTTCTTACTATGTATCTGAACTTGAGATACTCTATATTGAGGAACTGAAAAGAAATGACCAACCAACCCCTTTTATAAGTTAGGAGCATTCCTAGTTTGAACAAGTTCAAGTAAGCAGGAAGGGTGCTTATTAGCATTGGCATGTAAGTAATGCGATCAAGTATGTTAGGAAGGTTTAGGCATCAGGAAGTAATAGGCATTCATTCCCTCAAGACCATTCTGGATCCAGTTGAATGTGAAGGTCTTTAAGAGTACTTCCAACTCCAGTTAAAAATACAGACCAGTTGGCTAGTAAGATTTTGGACTGATTCAAGACTTTTGAAGTTACTCTGCTGACTCTTACTTACACTACACCTGTATCTACACGCTCTGAAAAAGGACAGAAGAAATCTTCACAGCGCAAGTACATTTAAAGGTAAACCATTTTTCATACTCCTAGCAGTCTTTCTTTGCATTTAAAATATTTTCTTAGCAGTTTTTTGCCTATGGTCCTCAGGTGAGGCCTATTAATAAAAGCCACTGGC